GATAAACCAATATATATATATACACGCAGCGTTGCACAACAAAGACTGACTTATACTAGAAATTCTAAAAAAAAATAATAAAATAGTTTTGAAGGAATAATAAACAGTTAATTAAGAATTCCGGGACTTTTCCCTTCAAGACAATTTCTCGTGGGCCGCTGCCCGGAAGTTGCCAAGACTTGGCGAAGATCTAGTGGCCAAAATTTTGCCACAGATCACGATACGGATATCTCTGCGAAATTTTTTACAGTAAGTCCAAACCGGTCTGTGCTGATTGATAGTGATTATCAGAATATGTCAATTGTTATCAGAATAAAAATTATATTACAACATATTACATAAAATATTAAATAAAGTTTCTGAAATATAAAAAAGTAACTTACCGAATAGTGCGATTAGAAATAAAAAGTAGAGTTTCATTCTAAAAATGTTCACTTCGATAAAACTTTTCGCACTCAAAAGCAAAATTCAAATTAAGTGATTTCGCACACACAGAAGCAAAATAAAATTAAGCATGTTAGTAATAATCATTAATAATCGACACAGATTTCGCCTGTTTTTTACGGTTTATTCTATTTAAGGCATTCAAAACCTCAAGAATGATAAGAGCAAAAAATATCGTCTGAAAAAAAAAATTATCCGAACAGACGAGAAGTTAACTCTTCAAACGACCTCAAGGATACGATGCTTTGTTTTGAATCCGTTCCAAGTTTCACTTTCCTAAGGTTTACGCAGACGATTGCATCACGTGGTTGATGATTCAATGTCATAATTTGTTTCCAAGTGTCTGATTCTGCTGTAGAACTCTTATCAATGACTTCCTACCGATTTCATTGCACGTAACTTAAAAACTTGTTTATTCTATTTAACAGTGTTTCAATGTTAAATTTAGCTTCGAGTAACCTATATTCAAGGGGCAAAACATTAATGTAAAATCCATGTTTCAATATTTTTTTCACTAAAGATTCATCGAACTAAAAATTCGAACGATGAATATCCGCCATTTAAACTTTCAAATAAGTTTAGAAATTTAAAAATATATAAAATTTAATCATATATAACTCCAAACATTATATGAAATTCTTTACGATTTTTATACTTTGTATGCATTTTATTATTACTATTATTATTAGGCTTGTGAGAGTTAATATCTTTAAAAAAAATATTTTAAAGGAGAGAAAATTAAACTTATTGAGTTGTTATGCCATCTTCAGTCAGAACAAGAATTTATGTTAAAAACCAAAGTAAGTATTAAGTTGAAAAAAATTGAAAGTTAAAAGTTTCAATAAATAAAGAAAGGCTGTGAAATGTGATCGTTAATTAATGGTTAGTGGAAGTGCAAAGATAACTAGCGAAGGTTCTTCTAGGTCAAGAAGAAATTAGTAAATTAAAGGTAAAAGAGGTCAGAAAATTTAAGATATTAATCAAAAGAGGATAGGTGCGATTAACTGAAATTACATCTCAGTATCTGAAGGTAAATTACGAAAAAAAAAACATTGTTACCATTTTACAATGGTACTGTTTATTTTAAGCATAGCATACCCCTAAGACACCACTTTTATATGGTGAGGGGGGGGGATTTATTCAGAGAATGTAATTTTTTTTATTCTCTGAAAAAAAAGTTTCAGAGTATGCGCGAAATTAACTTTTTTTCCTTAATTTTCTTCGTTTATTTCCTTTTTTTTAAATTTTATTCATTTTTTTTCAATTTATTTGAATTTTATGTGTTTCTAAAAAAATAAAAAAAAAATAGTTGGGCAAGGTCTACATTTTTTTTGCGGCTTTTCACTTGTGCCCGTCAAACCGAAAAGTATCTTAATTATTTAAATTGGCGAGCTTTTAAATGAACACTTTATTTTTTAAGGAAACCTTTATTAAACATGAGAATCTGAGACGGGATGAAAAATCAAATAATGATAATGATTAATTGAGCGAACCGGGTTCGAATCCCAGTCGATATGAATTCCGCATCCGGCTTGCACCAACGACAGTGCTGACGTGAAATATTCTCAGTGGTACACTGATCATGGGTTAGAGTCCCTTTGCTGTCAGGCTAACCGTGGGAGGTTCTCGTGGTCATCCTCCCAATGTAACGCAAATGCGGGTTGGTTCCATCAAAAAGTCCTTCACGAAGGCAGATTTCTCCCAATACTCGATCCAGGAGTTCCCTTGTCTTCTGTATTGGGTTCAAATTTACAAGGCTACGGAGTTGAACATTAGTAGTCGTAAACCCATAAAATTGGGTCAGCTGTTCAACGACGGTTATAAAATAAAGTAAAATGATTAATTGAGGAACTGTGAAGGCTCAAGGGATAGAGCGTTCGCCTTTCAATGAGGTGAACCGGGTTCGGTTCTTGGCGATGGATGGTCGAAAGTAAATCGGCACCCGGCTTGCACCGACCACATTGCTGACGTGAAATATCTTCACAGGTAGACGGATCATGGGTTGGAGTCCCCTTGCCGTAAGGCTAACCGTGGGAGGTTTTCGTGGTTTTCCTCTTCATGTAACGTGAAAGCACGTTAGTTCCATCAAAGAGTCTTCCATGAAGGCGCGTTCGCCTTCCAATGAGGTGAACTGGATTCGAATCCCAGCGATGGCTGCTCGATATGAATTCCGCATCCGGCTTGCACCGACCACTGTTCCGACGTAAAATATATTCAGAGGCAGACGGATCATGGGTTAGAGTCCTCTTCCCGCCAGGCTAACCGTATGAGGTTTTCGTGGTTTTCCTCTTCATGTAACGCGAAAGCGCGTTAGTTCCATCAAAGAGTCTTCCATGAAGGCGCGTTCGCCTTCCAATGAGGTGAACTGGATTCGAATCCCAGCGATGGCTGCTCGATACGAATTCCACATCCGGCTTGCACCGACTATAATATTGCACCGATGTAAAATATTCTCAGTGGTAGACGGATCATAGGTTAGATTTTCCTTGCCATCCCGTTAACCGTGAGAGGTTTACATCCTCTTGCAAATGTTAGTTCGATCTATTAAAAAAGCCCTCAACGAATGCAAACTTTTTCCAATAATTGATCCAAGAGTTCCCTTGTCTTCTGGATTGGGCTCAAAATTACAAGGTTACAGAGTTAAACATTGGTAGTCGTAAACCCTAATTTGGGTCGGCTATTCAACGACGGTTATAAAATAAAATAAAATGATTAATTGAATTTTAATTTTTAAGGTTTTACAGATCTAATTTTGAGGGATAGTATATCTTTTCTTATAAACCGTAAAAATTCATCAGTTTTGCCTGATTTTTAAAATGTAAATTTAGGTGTTCCTAACTCGTTCTTGAACTAAATCCAAATATACCTCTTATTGTATACTAAATTGTATATTCTTCTACTTTTTATATTTTTTATAATTTTGTGGAGTTTTTTGCATTCTAATTCTAAGGCTTATACAGATCTAATTTTCGAGGATATTATATCATTTTCTTATAAACCGCTTTTGATGAAACTGGTCATGGTGGATTTTATGTCTCATGGCCTGTCCTGACTGATATTATAATTATTTCACTACGCACACCCATTCAAAATTTATTTCACCTACAAAGTTGTATGGATAAAAAATACTTTTGCATAATGAACTCTACAAATACAACTGAATAAAAGCTTGTTTTTTATAATTATGATCCAGTTTCCATCTTCAATTGTCATTTTCATTATCCCATTTTCATCACAATCTTCAATTAGTCAATTATACCATACAACCGCACCCAATACATACCGCTTCCTTTTTCGTTACTATAGTCATCATTACAGAATTGAAAAAGATAATAAATAGTCGATCACTTTAGGAATACAAAATTTCTCGAATCATTTAATTTTTTCTTTACACTTCGATTTTAGATTTTTTTAAAAATTTTATATTTTGCATTAGCAGTAAGTCGATGAATTTCTAAGCAGATGCATGTAAAACATAAAGCATCCTCTAAAATATGCTCTCAAGCTGTTCGGTGTGCAGTAGTAGTAGTTCGTATACATCGCACTAGAGCTGCATAATGGGCTATTGGCGACGGTCTGGGAAACATCCATGAGGATGATCCGAAGACATGGCAACACAATTTTGATTCTCTGCAGCTCCTCCCCGCTTCGGTAGCCCAGCGACCTGCACGCGAAGTCGAGCACTTTACGGTAGAACAGTTTAACGAGGACCAATACTGCACACCCTCGGTCTTTAATCCGAGTGGTCATCCACCCGCACACTGACCGCAGCCAGTGATGTTTGACTTCGATGATCTGCTGGGAACCGTGTCTTAACGATCAGTCCACTGCAGGACCTGTTCCGTGTGCAACGGTAATTGGAAATCCGAAACCGAGCCGTCATCTCGTCCCAATAATGGCGGCCATTAAGAGGTGATAAAATTAAGAATTCTGTTTAACAGTTCTTTTACATAGACTCGTGTTCAAAGGGTTGTACATAAATTCTAAGAGAAACACTCGGAGGAGAAAAAGGCTTTTTTCAACTTTTAAAGCAAACGGATTCTGAGGCATTTCTCATCCCCGAAATACAGGGTGTTTTTAAAACCCCAGACCCATTTTGATGTTTAATAACTCATAAAATAATAAAGATAGATTAAAATTAATAACATAAATGGTTAGATAGACTCAAAAAGCTTCATGACCCTTGTCAATGAACTTCCACGTGTGCCCCGTTCGTCGCACGGAAAATATCAAGTGGATAGTCAATGTCACGCCAGGTAGCGGCAAGCATGTCGGCATCCACAGAGGCTATTGCGGTTGTAATTCTGGCCTTTAAGTCATCAATGTTCGACACGATCCTCATGTAAACATTGTCCTTTATAAATCCCCAAAGAAAAAAGTTCAGCGGTGTTATATCAGGTGATCTGGGTGACCAAGGAATTGGACCTCCTCGTCCAATCCATGTTCCTGTCTCATCAGTCGTCAATCTCATCAGTCGTATGCTTAGACTTGTTGGAAAACTTCGTATTTCCACAACTAGAAGAGCTTCAGCCACATGTCTTTTTGCAACAAGATGGTGCCCCACCTCATTGGGGTATCATCATTCGTAGTAATTTGAATGACCATTTTCCAGCTGCAAAGCTTAACACAACAATCAGTGCAAATTATTCAGTGTAACAGCAGTTTGCAAATAATGTGATTCAGTGCGCAAATAATTCACGAGTAACTTTTGAATAATCTTAAAGGCACTACTAAATAAATGCTGTTGTTGTTTTAGTGGGCCATTTAAGGTAAGGAAAGCGATTGTTTTTGTTTTCCAGTGGCGACATCTGTAGAATTCGACTTCTGCCACACGCATACGTCACACCCGTTTATAGAGTGGACCCATCCATACACCCATTCATTCATCCACAGATCGTAGTTTTGACCTGAACCAGAGAGCGATCAATCTCCAATTTATTACCCCCAGATTTATAATTTGTTATGGGAACTTGGAGGACTTTGTGACTCGACGGATTGAACTTGCACCAGTCACTATTTACTACCAGGGGATTAAATTAATAATTTCAATAAACTCGATGTAAAATATGCTTGATAACATTTGTTTTAAAATATCTGAAGAGTGTAAGAGTCGACATGTTTCGAGCACTCAAAAGTAGGCACCCATTCTCAAGACTCGCTAGAAGGAATAGATAAGGAAAGGCTAGAAGGAATAGCAAATAGAGATTTCAAAGAGAAAGCCGTAAAATAGCTAACAAAAAATCGGAAAATGTATAAAGTTCAAAAACAAATCTACAAAAATCGCGGTAGACGAAAGTAAAACAGAAAATGAAAAGTAAAAAATGAAATAACCAACCT